ATCCATTGAGCTGCTAACACAGGTCAGCACTTTAAAGCCGCTCATTGCTCTAAGGGAAACATCACTGAGTCACAATTGTTTTGTTTTAAAAAGCCATTAGGGGTATTTTTGGTTTTTAAAGACTTTAAGGTTTTAAACATTATATCATGGCTCATTGAACTGATTGGTAACAAAGATTTATAGAAAGGTTTCAATCCTTCCTAAACTTTCTCAAAAAATAGAAGAGGAGGAAACATGTTCTAACTCATTCATTGGACTAGCAATCACCTCCTATTGAAGCCAGACAAAAGATCCTGCAAGAAAACTAGGCCAAGATCCCTTATGAATGTCTAATCCTTCAAAATATACTAGCAAACGAAATCATAATATTAAAAGAATTTTGAGGGAAAATAAAGAAGATACTACAAAATCAAAGAAAGCTTGATTAAAACAAAAAATATCAATATATGAAGCTCTTCTGGTGGCATATTCTCCCTCACGTACACGTCCGAAGGTGGTATTTATCACCTTAACTCTTCCCCAAAGTAATTTTTGATTTAGCATGCTAAAACGGAAGTTTTGGCATCCTTGAGGGACTGAAATTATATTCCTTTTAAATGTTCTTAGGAGAGAAAAAGGAATGTAAGAGGATAAGACTAGGGCTGTCGAATAAATGGAGTGATGTTTCCCCATGGAATTCTGCTAGGACAGCCCTTCCTACCCGCAAAGAATGAGCAGGTGCATTGTGGGGTTGAAAATAAATGAATTGGCATAAATTTCATGGCTCTTTTCTCACCAATTTTCAGTTTTCGTAAAGCTAATCTTAGTAAATCCCTGTGATCACCCTATATTCTTTGAGAAAACCTGTAAGATTATCCATTTCAAATCCCCCAAACCGGTCTCCATAACCTTTGAGCCAACTTTGCTGCCTTAAATGTAACTGGCTCAGCAGATCCCCTTGGAAGCCACTGTTTTGATTGGATTTTTGTAAGGCATCCTAGCAACACAGACAAGTATTCACGGAGTCTCTCAAAAAGTTCATGGGAAAAAAAATCAATCTTTTTTTCACCCACATTTTGAAATTCCCTCATATTACTGAGAGAACATGTTTGCAGCCATGCACTGATTTCAGAGAAGTGTTTAGGCATGGTTTGTTTAGAATAAACCTGTGCATGTATAATTTAGAACAATACTAACAGTACTTTTTGACTTAACACCTTGAGCCAGTTCAATTTATCTAAAAAAGTAAGGATGATTCAACACTGGAAAATCAGCCAAGCAGTGTAGTAAGACACTACGATGGAAAGGTCACATTGTCACCTCAATGACAACAGATAAGACATTTGACAAAATCCAAACACTCAGACTGGAAAGGATGATCCTCAGTCTCACACAGGTACTTATGACACACACAGCTAACAGCAAATTTGGAGGAGAACAAGAGGTTTTCTCGAGATCAGAAACAAGGCAAGCATGCCTATTCTTAGCAATGCTGGTTACCATACCAGAAGTCCTAGCCAGAGCAATTGGTAAGAAAAAGCAATGAAAGATGGGAAGGATGAAGTAAACACATAATTCTAGATACTGTCTATGCTCGTGTGTAAGCCGAGTTTTTCCAGCACGTTTTTTATGCTGGAAAAGCCCCCCTCGGCTTATACTCCAGTGAGGGTCCCACTTAAACAGTTCTCCGATCTCTGGCTCATCTGCGGGCACCTGCAACCTCTGTGGGTGGTCCGATGGTTGCTGATGTCGCCGCTCTTCCTTTCTCCTGCACGCCAGCAGCCTCGGTGTTGTCCACCGTGCGGTACTGGGCGAGAACCTGCCCGCTTCTGTGTGCTGGTCCTTGGACGCACCGCATCCTTGTCAGATCAATGTCAGATAGGGCCGCTCTTCTCCAGGGCTGTGACCAATGACGTAGCCTTTACAGTCTTACCCGTGCTTGGTCACGCCCCCTTGCTCCGTCCAAGCATTGCTGAATACAAGTTTCCCTATATCTCTCGTCTTAGATATACAGTATGTTTGTTTACAGCACTTAGTCTGCTATGTTTTATTTTTTATTTTCTTATTAACCCCTATCTGGACCCAGTGTTGACTATACTTGCATAGAGCAGCCTACGTTAGGGCTCATAATATACATCCTGTGTACGCCCTGTGTTACTGCATGTGTTGTGTTAGCACTTCTCATACATACTTGGTAACGCTGCATATGCAGTAATGCAGCACATGCAATAACGCAGTGCGTGCACAATGCAACGTGTATATTATGAGCCCTAACAGGCTGCTCTATGCAGTCATGTCATCACATTCTGTAATATCATCAGCCTGCGTTAGGCCTCAAACTATACAAGCTGTGTTGTGTACATGTAGTAATGCAGCGCGTGCAGTAACAGCGTGTATAGTTATTGTTAGTACCATATTGTTTTTGTTGACCCTCTTTTTCACTTACAGAGCTAGTTTACTATTGTTTCTTTTTCTTTTTTTAAAATCATTTTATTAGGGGCTCATACAACTCTTATCACAATCCGTACATACATCAATTATGTAAAGCACATTTGTACATTTATTGTACTGTTTTTCTTTGAAACAAATATTCAAAAACATTTAACCTACTGATGTTTCAATTAATGTAATTTTATTGGTATCTATTTTTATTTTGAAATTTACCAGTAGCTGCTCCATTTCCCAGCTAGGCTTATACTCTAGTCAATAAGTTTTCCCAGTTTTTTGTGGTAAAATTAGGTGCCTTGGTTTATATTCTGGTCGGCTGATTCTTGAGTATAGACGGTACATAGGAAACCTCCTGTGTTAGTCTGGGTAGACTAGAGAAACATCCAGGGAGACTCATGTGAATCACAAAGAGCTTTATATACAGCACTTGAATATTGAGAAAACATCTCAGCCCAGGCCAGATCAAGTCAATAAGTCCGATATTGGCCCATAATGTCCAGTAGTAGACCATAAATTCCTCTTTGGACTTACACAGCCATGCAGTAATGTTGAACACAAGATGATCACAGGCCAGCAGGTGGAAAGTCTTGTGGATCCAGTGGCGGTAAAAGCATTTCAGCGCTGGCAGGGGTCTCCACATGGCTCCTCCAGCTCCCAGGGATATAGTAGAGCTCCATTTATCTTGTCAGAAGGAATGTCTCCCAGGGAGTGAGTGTGTGTCCCGCCTCCAGGGTGCTATTTATCTCCTTAGTGTCCCCCAAATGAGGTCATCAAACTGCAACCTGATTGACAAGCTAACCCCCCCCTTCACTCTTAATCTCAAATTGACAGATTATGTAACTACTACACCCCCCCACAGATAAAAATGAATTTAGCAGAGTGGCAGGTATAATGTCAGCACAACAAAAGGCAGATTTTTATGAATTTGCAATGAGCGTTCTGAGAAGGAAGTTAAGAAAATAGTTCATTTACAGTAGCATCTAAATAAACTAGGAATAAATTAAAACAGTAAAAATGCAGACATTTAAGTAGGAAGGTGAAAGATTTGTACATGCAAAATGATAAAAAATAGTGGTCCTTGTGGTCAAGTGGTTACAAGTTGGGCTGCGAACAAAATGATAAAACATTACTAACATTAAAGAAAACCTAAGTAAATGAGAGGGCATTCCATGTTCATGGACTGGAAGACTTAGTATTGTTAAGAGGGCCCTACTACCCAAAGGAATCTAGAGATTCGATGTAGTCTCCATCAAAATTTCCAGCAGCTGCTTTTGCAGACGTGTTTCCCTTTTCAAAGAATTCTGTAAGCTGGTATAGTCAAAGCAGATCAATACTGTTATAGTGATACACATATTACTACACCAGTGGAAAAGAATTGGAAGTCCCTAAGTAGACCCATATGCTGATTTTCAACAAGAGTGTGAGTCTATTCAGTGGAGGAAAGAACAACCTCTTTAATAAATGATACTGGGACAACTGGATTTCCACATGAAACTGGACTCATACTTTACATTATATATGAAAATTAAAAGCCCGAATGTGAGAACTAAACCCATGAATCTCTTACTAGAAAACAAAGGCAATACTTTGACTTCATTTTTAACAATGGTTCTTACACCTTGTGCCAAAAGCATAAACTACAAAAAAAAAAAAGATTCAAATTGCTAGACTCATAATGGCCCAGCAGTTCCAATTTTAGGCATATTATACCCAAAAGAATTGAAGGCAGAAGCTCAAACAGAAACTTGTATGCCAGTGTTTATTGCAGCACTGTTCACAATAGTGAAAAGGTGGAACCATATCGGAATGTTGACCAACTGGTGAATGCATGCCGGTGTTGTAGTAGGTCACACATTGGGCTGCTAACCTCAAGGTTAGCAGTTGAAACCCACCAGCCACTCCACAGGAGAAAGATGAGGCTTTCTACTTCCGTAAAAGTTTGTCGTTTTTGAAATCCACAGTCTACCCTTATTGTACAGGGTCACTCAGTTGGAAGTGACTTGATGGCAGTGAGTTTGGTTTGGGCATGCTGATGCATGCTAGAGCATGAGGAACCTCGAGAATGTTATACCTCGTGAAAAAATCCGTCTCAAATGAGCAAGTAATATATCCCACTTGGAAGAACCAGGCAACTGTATTGAAAGCACCGTTTATGAGTTGCTAACCAGGGCTAGGAGGGACCCTGAGCCTTCTGCTCATGGAGACAGTTGTGGTGAAGGCACAGCAGGGTAAATACAGTCAATATCATGAATTGTACAAGGGAAAAACCTTTGAATTCGCAAATACAGGGGGCTTCAAAAACTTTGTGGGAAAATGGAATGAAGAGAGTGGAAGTTTTCATGAACTTACTGAAACCGTCTCATGTTTTGTTGCATATATTTCACTATAATAGTGATAAGTATCTTCATTTGATTTATTTTTATAAATTTTAACAGTTTAATAGTTTTTATTTAGAGAGGAAAGATGTGAAGATTTGATGAGACTTTCCTTTCATTCTTTATGCCTGAGTTTTGGTTGTTGGAATAAAAGAAAAATAACTTTGATCAGTGGCTTACACATACGTTGTCTTACAGGCAAAGCTGAAAACTGTGAATGAAAACTGGAAAAATCTGTCTAGTTCTCAAAAGCAAGTAAGTATTACAGTTTTTAGTCTCAAGTGTCAGAATATGTGAGGGCAGGCCCTTTTCTTGTAGTGGAAACAATCATGTTAACACAGTTAGAATAGTGAAAATACTGTCATTTTAGAATCAGTTGTGCTTTTCTCTTGGAGTTTGGACTGAAAATGAAGTTAACACTTAAACGATAATTGTGGCCGCCTATAGGTTTCACGCGTTCACTAGGGCACAGCGATGACCACACTCTTCCTCTGCTCCCTTCCCACCTCCCGAAAAGGGCAACAGCTTTACCTCGAAAACCTTTCCTTGGGTCATTGCTTCTCCTGTCCTACAGCAATAATGTCATTTCTAGAATCTGTATCGGGGTGCTGGGACATTCCCGGGGTGCTGCAAGAGCAGATACCTCCATTGTATTTCGGACCATGATACAAAAGTGTATCATTGCAAGGCCAGCACTGAGTAATTTTTTTTCTGAAAAGGGAGGGTGGTTGGCCAAATAAGTCTGGGAACGTATCCTCTATATGAAGGCATTCCATAAATGAATTGCAAAGATTATTCTCTAATATTTTAAAAATTTCGCTTTTCCTCAGATATATATTCAGCTTGCTAAAGATGATAAAATTCGTTACGATAATGAAATGAAATCATGGGAAGCACAAATGATTGAAGTTGGAAGAAATGACCTTGTACGTCGCACAGTACCGAACAAGAAGAACCGAACAAAAGATGACAGTGCGCAGTGATCAAATACAAGATGGGGTTGTGTTTATCAGATCATGGGGAGAGAGGCGCAACAAACCATTAGGTCTCAATGCTTGAAGCTGTTGGTAAAACTGAAAGGATAAAGTTGACAAACGTTTTATATTCAATTCCTTTTCCTTTAAGCTCATGGACTTTTGCCAATTTTTAATGCATGCTGTTTCAATACTTTTTTTTTTAACTCAAACAAATGTACGTTTCTTGCTAAATGTATTTTTGGTTTGGGAACTACGAGGAGCAAAATGAATCCATGCAAACGCAGCAGTGAATCATTTACCTTTATCAGACTGTGAACTTTTTATACTGGATGATGACTATGGAAAGATTTTTCTTCTTTATATTATGGAAGTAGGAATTTGCTTTAGAAAATTGTTCCAAATTATAGGAGCCAATGTTCTATGATGTAATTGTATATTTCAAAAAACAAAAAAACCCAGCACTGACCTAGGTAAATTTTAATTCCTAGGTAGGATTCATGTTGTATTCACAGTCGATGTAGCTATACATACAAATGATTTCTGGTTTTAGTTGCATCTTTTTAAAGGGGACTGAGAATTTTATAAGCTTTCCTCATTGTCTTTTTGTTTTCCTAAAGCAAAACTAAAAGAATTATGTACCAAATTTATGCATATTTCATATGCATAACTAAAATTATGCATAGAATAAAATTTTAATATATGGTTAGTTTCCATGTTTTCACATTTTGTTTTCAAATGAAAGATTTGTTTTTATCTTAACTACCCACAGATGTTAATTTCAACTTATAGCAATCCTGTAGGACAGAGTAGACTTGCTCGATAGGGTTTCTGAAGCTGTACGTCACTGTGGAAGGAAACTGCCTGCCTCTGTCTTACGTGGAGCGGCTAGTGTCTTCCAACCACCCTTGGGCTTAGCAGTACTTCTCACTAGTCTACCTGTGCTTAACTCACTGCTTCTTAACCCACGGTCCCCGCCTCCTGCTTTACCTAGAGAATGGTATTTTTTCCTAAAATATTGTTTCCTCTCGTGGTGATATTTGTCCCCAAAGTGGAGATTATGCCTAGTGTAACTTTTAAAAACGAGAGGCTTAGAAAGCAAGTCTCCAACATCTCTAGACCATGATCGACCTGTCTTGCATCACATAGAAAGTGACACGTGTGTGAATGGCTGGCTCACTGTGGCCTGTGGACAGATGTCATCTGCAGGTCAAACCAGTCAGCCCACTGCCTGATCGTCAGGGCCTGTGAGCTACCAGTTGTCTTTAAATTTTAAATGCGTAGAATATATCTATTTCCTGACACATGGCAATTGATATTCAAAGGTCATAAATAAAGTTTTATTAGAGCACAATCATGCTCATTCTATTACTTACTATTTTGTGTTAACAGCAACAGATGAGTAGTTGCCAGAAAGACAGGTAGCTCTCAAATTCAGAAATCTTACTTCCTGCTCCTTTACAGAAAACGTTGCCAACCTGCGTTGTAATGTGACCAGTGTGCTCTAACGGTGTTGATGTGGTCAGATGTTCTTCCCCAACTCTTTCAAAAGTGTGTGTGTGTTTACTTGTCATTCTTGTCCTGAAAGC